CTCTATATATATATATATATATATATATATATATATTACTTAATATGTCTTACAGAAAATTAAGTTGTTCATATTCTAATCTTTTCTTCTTAAACTTTTGGTTTATATTTGAGTTTCCTAAGTTTAGTTTTCTAGTTTATTATCAGTTTATTACCTTTATTATTATCAGTGCTCTGAATGCAAATAAATAAAACATTTCATACAATTGAAGTTAGACGGCAGTGTCATCTAGTGGTAAAGCACCATATTTTCTGTGAAGGAAGTGTCAAATTTGCCAAATATATATATATTACATTTATTTTGTAATTTGTTTATTTTATGTTTCTTCCAGTATACGATGTTGCACACTGTAATAAATACATCTTAACTATAATGTGCTGTACACTTGCAGGTGAAACTGCCTTTCTCAATAGACCATATCACAGAGCTTCCACGCAATGACTTTCAGCTGATGATCAAGATGCATACGCTGACCTCAGATCAGCTAGACTTCATCCACAGCATGAGACGCCGCAATAAAAACCGCATCGCAGCGCAGCGCTGCAGGAAAAGAAAGCTGGACTGCATCCAGAACCTGGAGCGCGAGATTCACAAACTGGTAGGCTGCGACCAACAACCTTAGAGTGTTTGCTTGCACTCTCCACAAGAATCTAGATTTTTCTATACCACCTTCATTATTGCATCTGCTTCTCCTCCGTTAGGTCTGCGAGAGACAGAAGCTCCTAACTGAACGCAGCCAGTTGAAGACCTGCATGGGGGAGCTGTGGGAAAACTTCTCCTTTTTGTCTCAGGAGGTCTGCAGGGAAGAAAAATGGAGTCCAGGACAGTCTCGGTCTCTGTATAATCTACACCCAGACCCAGTTTCATCCAGTCCAACCGGTACAGACCTTAGAATCTCTCCCAATCCCACCAGTATAGACGTCACTCTCACCTCACACAACAGCGTGGTGTTGTCCCCAGGCTTAACTGGCTGCCAGGCCATAGCCGAACCACCACACTCACACCTAAGAGTGGACAGAGAGACTGTGCTGCCCCAAAACACTGTCACCTCTGAGAGGTCAGAACTTTCCCACGTGGGCAGCTCAAGTGTGACGACTGATTTCTGCCAGGAAATGACAGAGAAGTGTACGACAGAAGAGCTGCCTGAGAGAAACTGAGTCCGGTAAACTGCATTTTTATCTGTCATCATGAGAATTTGTTTTGTGTTCAAATTTTTTTTTTTCAAATTTTTTTTTTGCCAGTGTTAAGTTTTGTTTGTCGCTACTTTAGGGGGGACTGTTCTGTTATGTTCATGGTGCATCACCTGATGTGTTTTTGTTTGTGTGTGCATATGGATTTGTTCTCATACATGCTCTATAGGATGCTAAAATAATTTCGTTTTGAACAATACCTTTTTTATTTTCATTTTATGCTATCTGGTTCTCAGATTTATCTCAGGAATTTCAGATTTTTTTGGGCAACTTTAAATCAAGCAGCATATGCAAATGTGATATTGGGTGTTTGAAAGTGTTTTGTATCTATTGTGCATTAAAGCATTCCTAACAAAATTGAATAATGGAGAAAACTAAACGGCTGCTCACCTGAATTTGCTAAAAGCCGAGCAATCTCTTTCTAAACTAGCAAAATGGAGAGCTCTTCTACAAAATAGATGATGAAGCAATGACGATTAGCTGCCTGCATGTTCCCTCAAACATTTTGTGATGAAGCATCATTTGATATGGAAGCAATTTTTTACAGATTTTTTTTTTTTCCCGAAGCTCAGTTTTCTAGACTGTTAAAATGATTGATCAGGGATGTCTGTTGTATAAAACTCTCCAAGCAAACTTTAGAAAATGTAGTTATTCTGACTTTGTTCATTTTGGCAGCTCACACTTAGATCTCTCAGATCTGATTTGATTCCTTCAGGGCGTTATGCACATGATAATTTTACTGGAGTCAGAAATCAAAGCAAATCAATATTATTTCCCTCTCTTATGTTTGTTTGTTTTTCGGGGGGGTGCTTGGACAAACTGTACTGTTTGTACACTTGTCCACAGTCCACTTTCAGTGTTTAATTATTTCCATGGTCCTAATATTTTCACTTTTACAAGTTCTCAATTCCCTCCTTCAATTTGGTGTAATTTTCACTAGTCTTATAACACTTTTACATGTTTGATTTAATAACGAGGTGAAACTTCAAGCCTTAAGGTAACAAGAGTTGGAAAAGCTTAATACTGCATTTCTATTTTTGTTTCTAATGTTGTTGCTTTAAGCTACCATGTGTAAGAGCCACTCACATCTGCATCATCACAATACTAAAGTTCAAAGGTGAGATGGGGTATTTGTTTTAATGTTTTAATTAATTTAGTCTGTTTACTTTAAATTATTGTGAACTGCATGATTTTAATAAGATGTAAGGCATGATTAAGCGTCATGTTTAATATTTGGTTTTACCAAAACTTTTGGGAATCTGATTGAACATGTTAGCTTGTATTGAGCAAAATCAATTAAAAAAGCTTTGGCCTTAAAAAAAATCTCATAGAGTCGTCTTGGTTAATTTGTGCACCATAAAAGAGGATTCTCAAATAATTGACTGTCAGGACTTCAAATATGTCCTCAATGTTTATAAATTCTTCAGAATTCTGTGCATATTCTGAATTTGTATTCTCATGAGTATGGATTTGGATAAATCAGTTTATCATGCTTTTGTTATATGATGCACCACAGTTGTGATATGAATATTGTGATAAGGGCAAATATGAATATTGGTTATTAGTTTACATGCAGTAGGGAGAGTTTTGACATTCACAGAGCTACCTGTAAAATCAATATACCTCTCGTCTCAGACAAGGTCTGTTACAGAACTTGTTTACAACCTTTTTCAAAGATGTTTTACAATCATTTCTTTTATGTAGATTTTGTATCTATTGTACATATTCTGTTTATAGGTATTTGTGGGATTCTTTGAAAATGATTGTTTTGATTTCTTTTGTCAATCAAATCTCGAAAAGTTGTGACCTCAATGTTCATAATCTGTATTTGTTACATTCTTGAATGTGTCCACGTTGAATTTGTCTACTAGGGTATTAAATAAATTGCCAAGCATGTTTTATGCAGATTGAATGTGTTTTGCATCATTTGCTCTGAGGAGTTAAACATTTGCACGATCTGTGTTCACCCTGAATTCAAACACAAACACTTTTGGAAATGAGAAAACTTTTATTTTCTTCTGAATTTGATGTAAGAGTCCATCCGCTTGCATCACAATTTATGGATGTAAGCTAAATGATTTAAAAATGTTCTTATTTGCCAGCTGTCGGAAGGTCTGAAGCTTTTATAAATCTGCACAGATGTCTTTTGGCTTCCATAATTAGACATGGAAAAATGTATACCATGCTTTACTGGTAAATTAAGGTGCTTCCAATAAAAAATGAACAGTGCAAAACAGCACAACTTATACCACGTTGAAGCTGTGTTAAACCAGTGCTTTCCAAGCAGAGCCTTTGTCGCTGATATTTCCATTCATTTCTGCTCATGAACGGACTGTTACATTCCTGTTGTCCTTCTGTCCTTCTTAATTTCACTTTTTCATGATGGAAGAGATATCCAAGAATACACTCTGTAAAAAAAAAAAAAAAGAAGACATTTTTCATATCAATAAACCAATTAGGCACACATCTGAGAAATAACATTCATCAGTATTTATTTTTAGTATTTATTTAGTATTTTGTTATTTTAAGTCATTTGAATACTATTATAATATTAATATATATAATATAAAACATTAATATAAACACACACAGTATATACATACATTTATTGATTATTTTTCATTATTGATTATTTATGCTTTATTGGGGGTTTTGCAATTAATATTTATAATTAATAAAATTCAATTTTTTGAATGTAACTGGCGGAATCTGATCTAGAAATAAATTTATTTTTCTGTTCCAAAATAAAGTCCCAAAAGTTATTTTGGACAAGGAAGCTTTTAAATTCCTCTATATGACCAGCTTAGTAGCTGTGTGTTGTTTGTGTCTACTTGCCATAGACATCCGTCTTCCTCCCCCTGGTGGTGGGTTCATTGGCAGGTCGTTGAGGGAGCCCAGCTCGGACTCTGAACTCCTTGTGGAGAGACAGGATGGACTGCCAGAAATGCTGTCCGAGGGCATACGGACCATAAAACTGGCTTTCCTGTTGGGTGGACAGAAGTCGCTCTCGGAAGACTCCACAGCATCGTCCCCCAGGTCTTGCACACGGCTGGGCCTGTGAAGAGCGTTGCGAAGGCAGGCTGGTATTTCCGTATGACCCTCAGGACCCAGATGACCCAAGTTAAAAGACCTAACATCCCTCTCTGAGCCGTTACTGCTTTCTAGATGCTGGTCGCGGTTTTCCCTGTCCTCTAGTATCTCCATGGACCCTTGGGAGTGCAGTTCATGGATCATTCCCTGGCTAGGCTGCCGCATTTGCCGGGGCTGCTGAGTTATGCAGGACACTGGGAGGGTGGCTGCGTTGAAACTGTTGTGCTGCAGCATGTCGTTGCTCGAGCCGACGCAAGCTCTGGTTTGGAACAGTGGAGGGTCCATTTGCCCCTGTTGGATAAAAGTTTTCAACTGTGGGTTTTTGTGGGGGGATATATTCGTCATTACACACAGTTGCTGAATGGTCGAGTGCTTGGGTTTGCAAAGACTGTTGTCCTCCACAAGCTGGAGTCCGCTTAGAGTCTGTTTAATTTTTTTCACCCCCAAGTGGGATATTTCCAAGAGGTTCAGGAACAGCGAAACCCCTGCGATGACAATCATGAAAACCATGAAGATGGTCTTCTCCGTCGGCCTGGAGACGTAACAGTCCACGCTGTTCGGGCAAGGCACCCTCTCACACTTGTACAAAGGATCCAGTCCAATCCCATATAAGATATACTGCCCCACAATGAATGCCACTTCTACCACTGATCTGGTAAGGATATGAATTATATATGTGCGCAGCAAGGAGCCCCTCAGAGGAGCCTTCCTAATTTTCCTTTGCTCTTCTAGCTTCCTCAGTTCCTTCTCCAACTTCTTGTGCCCCTCCAAGAGGGCTTCCATCTCTTCCAGCTCGGCTCTCAGCTGGATTTTCCTCTTGTGCCGTTCTTTCTCCAAAGCCCTCAGCCAGTACAGAGCATGTCCCATGTACACCAGTGAAGGTGAGGAAACGATAATGATTTGCAGTACCCAAAAGCGAATTAGCGATATTGGAAACGCCTGGTCGTAGCAGACGTTCTTGCATCCCGGCTGGTCTGTGTTGCAGATGAACTCACTCTGTTCGTCCACCCAAACGTCCTCAGCCGCCACGCCGAGAACCAGCATCCGGAATATGAACAGGATGGTCAGCCATATTTTACCCACGATTGTGGAGTGAATATGGACCTCCTCTAAAATGCTCCCCAACAAGTTCCAGTCCCCCATCTTCACCGCCACATGTCTGTGCTTAGTTTAAGACAAAAAATAGGAGTTTAGGCTACTGTTCAAGTTGTACGCCGAGAACCAGCATCCGGAATATGAACAGGATGGTCAGCCATATTTTACCCACGATTGTGGAGTGAATATGGACCTCCTCTAAAATGCTCCCCAACAAGTTCCAGTCCCCCATCTTCACCGCCACATGTCCGTGCTTAGTTTAAGACAAAAAATAGGAGTTTAGGCTACTGTTCAAGTTGGTTTTTTCGCATTGGCCATCATGCATAAGGCTTTTTGCATGTATTCGACAAACAAAAAAGCATAAATTCCAAGTCTAGAAAGTCATGCACATGGAGCAACAAACTGCTTGTATGTAATTTTGCCCAAATGATAGTCCGTAAACACAAACAAAATGATATAACTAAGTCAATAAAAGCTTTTTCCACAAAACAAAACTAAAATGAACTTACGTTTCAGTGGGATTTGCGGTCTTGTTTCCTTGGTGTATAAACAAGCATGTTTTCCCAAACAAGGAAAATCATTCCTTCATTTTACAGCCATGGAGTTTGCACATTAAAACGCAGCAAGTCTCTCCGCATAATGTCAGCTACAGTGAATGCTCCCCACAGTTGTTGCATGCAGCGAGTTCACAGGATGTAGAAATTGATCAGAAACTGACAGGACAATGCCCCATGGCAGATCTTATCAAGCAATTGCTGAAAACAGCACCCACACACACATAAAAAGTTGCCTGTGATGCCAACCAACCAAATGTCCCTCGTGCAGTCAATACAATATATTCTGCCACACAAAATGTCATGATATTGCTCTCCAGCAAGCCATTTTCTTGCAAACCCAACTACCACGTTGGCTCGAACAAGAAAATGGGTTTCAATCTTTTGTAAGCATGTATATCCATCCTATTAAACCATTAATCTTTTGTGTAGTCTATAATGTCAGTCAATTAAAGCCCAGTTTCATAGCTCATAACTGCATTGTGCACATCTGTTAGATTTCAAAAAGGTGATCTTTTTATCTAACCCTGCACCTAGAACAAAACGACGCATGTCAATTTGATCAACTCTATTTCACCGTTTTCCTTTGTGTTCCCCTTTGAGTCCATCAATACTGCAGTGATTTGTTTAGCAAGTTCTTTTTTCTAGTTTTATGTGGCACAATTCTCATTAAAAGCATATTTGCACAGTATTGTGCATTTACGCTATAAATCCAATAGCAATTGATTTAAAAAACATGGTTTTATATTGAAATGACGGGGGGAACAAGGCAAGCCGTGATCCACCAATCAGCACATGCATGTGATTTTGTTATCCTGATTTGTCCCTACCCAAACCTTTCAGGCACTGCACAACTGGATCATCTCGCCGATCATACATGCTTCATAAAATGACCAGCCATCCCTCAGGGCCTTTAATTAGCTTTCCATCACATGCTGACAGAGTCAATGGGAGATTGATTTGATTTTCCCTTGCAGAAGCTTGAACTGCAAATGCCAGAAGTCACATCAGGGACGTTGCATTACATAATGAGTTCATACGGTACCAAACAAAAGGCAGAAATCCATCTATTGGTCTTTATTCTGCAGTGGTTTGTTGTCTAATTGCCTTGATAAGGGCCAAAATGTGCACTGAATTTTTGAGGAACAGGTTGTTGGGTTTTGCAACTAGGGGAAATTGTACTTACAGTGCAAAAGTGCAAGAACAGTCATAGGCTATGTGCTGAAACCTACTACATGGTCATTATCCCAAAATAAACTGTTTCACACCATTGTGAATGGGTTTATTTTGCGATAATGAGTGGATGACTTTATATTATCCCACTTATTATGTGGCTGCTCACCAAGTAAATAAATTTACATTAAATATTGATTTGAATTTAACTTACATGAGAAAAAAGAGGAGGCATAGTTATATAAGAGACATAAAGCTATCACAACGAGAAAGACCTGGTTACCAGGCACAATGCTCTGATATGAGCTATGTTCACACTGTCAGTGTTTTATTACAGATATGAGTATCGAAATTTCCTGTTCACACAGTGGCGGAGTAGCTGTCTCGCACTGTTACCCCTTTTCCACCAGCATGTTCAGAGCTAGTGCTATTGCTGGTTTGGAGTTGGTTTGACTGGCGAGCTTTCTAAGAACCGGTTTGCCTTTCCACAGTCTAGAGAGCCACCACAGAGCCAGGTCTTACGTCACTGAATACATCTTTTGTCGAAATGTGGGTTTCGATGTGGCCGGCCATTGCCGCTTCGACCAAGGTCCTTTTTTGGACCCTGTACTCTTTCTTCAGTTTTTTAAGTTTGTTGCTAATCTGTTCGACGTTCCTGTCGAACCCCGCTGCAGCCATCTCGCGCTGAATTTGCTGCAACATCGGTTTCGTCCGTGAAGCTCCCTCTAATTTACTCTGGACTTCTGCAGAGGACCAGAGTGCAAGAAAGCAGCTTGTTCCACATTTGTTTTTGCTTAATCCTGTCCAACATATTTAGCTGCTATTTCAGAAATGGCGGTCAACAGTTTCTGTTCGTCTTGTTGGTCACAATAACTCTGCCCCCGGCTCCTGATGCAAGCGATTCTTACTTCTAGAGCAGCTTTATTTTGATGCTAGTTACAAGCCACTTTTCCTGGTTCAGAGCTGGCTTTTGTCTGTGACTTCAGATTTACTGATACACATGTGTGGCTATTCTCTACAACGACAAATTCCGCTGTCACGGACGCTCAGTTGTTTTGCACCAAAAATACCTTCATACTGGTGCTTTGGGTATCGAAAGATTTAGAACCGATTTGAAACTAGGTTCTGGCTCTGAACCAGCACTCAAACTGCCTTGGTGGAAAAGGTGTATGTGTGAAGTGACAGATAAGAAGTTGTCCAGAACGGTTCTGTTCACACAGCACCAAAAATACATTTGTGAGTAGGCTACTTAAAATTTATGAGTGTGAGTTCAGTTCTACAATGCAGTTGTCAATCACAAAAATAACTAGTGAACATACAGGAATGAAAACCGTATTCTTCTGCTGTGTGAACCTGGCCATGTTGCATCATATTTCCTTTTTTAAGCGGTTTCCCCGAGTTGCTCGTTGTAACCAATCGCACACGATTCTGTTGAGTTTATGAATGCAATGGCCAATCAGAGGCGTCCAGATTAGTCATCGCTAAAACCCAGGAGTTTTGTTCAGTGCGTGCTCTTGCTGACCGAACTCTGCAATCTCGGGAATTCTCTCATAAACAACAAAGTGCTGAGATACATACGGTAAGAGATTCATAACGGAAGTTTTTTGAGAGTGCTTAAACTCGCACTAGACTGAAGTGATAATGTTCTCTGATAATGTATGCTCGTTGTTCGCTGTTTGAATACCGTGGGAATGAAAGCTTTAGTAACTTAAAATGTTTTTATTAAGTTGTGATCACGTTAAATACAAATTCAGTCCTATTAAAAAATATTTAATGACCCCCCCTCCTGGTACTTATACCTAAAAAGACGGGTTTATGATGTGCATATTTAATAGATTGTAGGCTACTCTTTAGGCTACCCTTCCGCCAATAGTATGGAGTCAATAATTTAGTTTTTTTTATGTCAATTTGTTTTTATATTTCTCGTTGTTCGTTTTTTTTTTTCTTATAGCGAATTTAAATACTATTTAAAAATCACTGCAAAAATCTAAATATTTAAATTTATAATAATGTATAACACAAAAAACTGTAGCCATAGCCACTGCAACAGCCTTTTGTTTTTGTTGTAGTGTTGTAGAAACATTTTGTTGTTTGTGGCGGGAGTTGGATGGAGGCAGTGGGATGGACGTCCACCATGCTGATAGATTATTTCACTCTGATCCATTTCAATCAATACAGACTCGTGCAGCCCTGATCTGACTGTTTGGAGATAATGAGATTCCAGCACGCCTGCGGATATTTACTGAGAGGTGGTTTAGGGTGTGAACGGGGTAAAGAACAGAGCGTGAATAGCATTCCCTTGAAAACATCTAAAAAATAATGTTAGACTTTGAGGATCATATTTTTACTTGAGTTTCAAAGTATTAGATAGTTTTCAACTTCAACTTTGTGGTGAAAATGATCATGCATCATTCAGTGGGAAAGATATGAAAGAACAGAAATGCTGTGCTGCAGAGATCATGAGTGTTAAACAACATTTGACTCATCAAACTTTTAATAGCTTTCACATGTATCGCATGAATTCTCATCTATCATCAATCAAAACAAAACATATTGCATTCTTACATGCATTTCAAACAGTTCTCTTTATTCTCTAATAAACTACTATAGATGCAATTTAATTAAAACATTTTAATTACATTTTGTATGTACAGGTACAGAGACTGAGGAATCAAACAATATATTATAGCTACATTTTACAATAACAAGTACTATGTAATTTAAGGTAATTCTGTCTAGGATTATAAAAAGTCTACTATTAATCTTGACTGACTGAAAAACATTTCTATACAACATAGTCACGTGTTGCTTAATTCATAATATTTCAGTCCTCACAAGCAATAACTCAGTATTGTTGGAGTGAAGATAATTGAATCACATATATATCACAATATAAAAACATTAATTTGCTCATGTACTATGATTTAAAATATTTTCTATTTTAATAAATATAAAAATTCCGTTGATGTCAGCTGAAATGTATTATTTGTATTTATTTATTTTTATTATTATTTTGATAGACAAGTCTTCATTAACTTTCACTGTACTATAGAAAACAAAGTATTCACTTTATATATTTCACAAGGATGGAACAACATTTAAATTTCTTTGAATCACTATTCAGCAAGTTCCTCTTCCTGTCTTTCCAATTCAAATTCCAATAGAATTTGTGAATCCTGTGGGGTGTGGCCAAATCAATTCACATTCCAGCTCAGTGAAAGGAAGGCACTTCTTTGATTCTGAATCTTTCTCAACCCTGTTTGAAAGACAAGATGGCGAGTAAATGATAACAGTTTTAATTTCTGGATGACTTGACATTGAGCAAAGAAGTACTGTACTCAGTTGGCTAATAGAGCACTGTTGTACCATTAGCATAATCACAACCTACATATAATAATTCCTGCCATTGTCAAAATGAAACTTTGATTTGGAGTCTTATAAATTTTAAAATAGTTTTGCATCCCTGTGTTTTACTACAGTACAATAAAATTACTGTAAGTTTACTCAGTGTTTACAAAGCTCCAATCTCATTTGTATTGCCACGACTTTCATATTAGGTGGAATCCAGGTATATGGGGATAGTACTGTATGTGTCAAGAGTTTGTATTAGTGTTAGTGCGAAGCTTCTGTAGCTCTTCTTCCAGTGTGTTGATCTTCTCCAGTAGACTGGCTCTGTCCTGCATGGCTTTCTGTTCTGCCACCTTCTGCGCTTCCTGGATCTTCCTCTCATACCAGCGTTCCAGCTGTGTGGAGACCGTCTCAAAGAAACGCTGTGTCACCTCCATGGCATGTAAGTTTGCCCGCTCTTGGGTGAAGGTGGCCTCCACGGGCCGCTGGGAAAACACCTCCAGGGTCTTCATGGTGTTGTTCTGCTGGGTTTGAGCGTGATGTGCTTTAATCCTGTCCTTCAGGTGCCTGCTGTGTTTCCAGGCCGGGCTGGGCGCTGGTTCTGTGTCGCTGTCATTGTAACGCTTGCTGGATGTGGACAGACTGCTGCTGGCGGTGCTATCGCACAGTTCATCCCTTTTGTCTGACCTGGACTTTGAGACATCAACCTCCTGCACTTCTGCTCTGTACCACTTGGGGTCAGCAGCCACCAGCTTCCGTGATAGAGGTTTGTGTTTGACCACTGAAGGAGCTGACAGGTTATGATAATCATCTGTGTGAATATGGAAAGATATTTTAGTGATATTTTTATTGTTTAGGGTCATATACTCTCAAATATTCATTTAATATTTTAGATTTAGTTTTAGAGTATTAAAAACACTCAAAAAATCACTTTACTCAAAATAATAAATAAAATGCTCAGTTTAATGCTTAAAGTCAACATGAAATTAAAAATGAACCCTATTTACTTTCTTAATATAAGTTTCTGGTCTTAATGAAAAAAAAATCTTCATAATCTTCCATCAAAAATGACCTTCCCTTTAAGCTGATGTCATCAGTCAGCTTTTTTCTTTTTGAGTTTCCTATTTCGCTCATATTTTCTATTTAACCCTATTTCAAATGTGGCAGTAAAATGGGTTGGAGAAGATCTTATTTTAAGGATGTTTAGATATTTTTACTGGAAATAATAACACTGATCATTTTTTTTTCCAATGCATTTTTTTTATAACCTTTAGAACCATTTTTATTTTTGGCTTCTGTATAAATATCCCATTTCACACAGAAATATGCCACATTTTGGCAGTAAAATGGGTTGAGGAGGTCAGTTCATGTTCACTTATATATATATATAACTATATATATAATTGTGCATCACCAAATTCAAGACTTTTCACATCATTGTTAGGACCTGCTCCTGGGCTGGGTAACACATTGACATAGGTGGTCAGTGAGCTGGAGCTCTCCTCAGAGATAAGTGACAGCAGTGGGAGACCCTCGGGGTCTGAGTCCACCAGAGAGTGATCCACTGATGGAGAGCGCAGAAGTTTGTAGTATTGTGTCTCTGCAGGCATTCGCACTTCAAAATCTTGAATCTTAGACATGCACCAGCTTTTCACAGCATTGGTAGCAGCTACCTGCATGAAAGATAAAAACAGAGCAACATAAGTTTGATCAATCATGTCTAGGCTGATGCAACTGCAGTGCATCTCTTCTCTTAAGGTATGGTACCTGTTTTCTCTCATCCGCCAAGCGTTCCAGAGTGGCTCTCTGATTGATTCGATAATGACACTCCATTGTCTCAGCTGACACACGCTCCTGCATGAGTTTCTCAAGAACTTTAATCTGAACATAAAGAGATATTTGTCTCTAATACCCACATTTTCAGTGTTTTGGAATTGTTTTTCCAATTTATTTTGTTCATATTGGATTACCAAGAAATCTACAATAAAGAGCCATGCATCAAAACCAACCATGAGAAAGTCTTTCTCTTTCTAAGTTAACTTATATTCATAAGTTATTTATACTTATTTTCATAAATTTTTGAAAGACATTTTTCATTCAAATTCAAAGAATGCCAAATTGAAAAAAATGTATATCTCATATTTTATTTATATTACACTTCCGTTCAAAAGTTCAGGGTCAGTAAGATTTTCTTTTTTTGAAAAACATTACTACTTTTATTCAACAAGGATGCATTAAACTGATCAAAAGTGGTAGTAAAGACATAATGTTTTATATTTCAAATAATCTACTTATGAATTAAACATTTCAAATAATTTATGGCTGCTGAAAATTCAGCTTTGCCATCACAGGAATAAATTACATTTTAAAATATATTAAAATAGAATAGTTATTTTAAATTTTGATAACATTTTACAGTATTACTATTTTTACTGTATTTTTGATCAAAAAAATGCAGCTTTTGTAAGCATAAGAGAATTTTATTAAAAATATTTGTAAAAATACACCAAACTTTAAAAAAGTAATTGTGACGAGAGGGGCGGGGCCGAGAGCCATGGGAACGAGCGAGGCCGGTGGAGTAAATGCTAATGCACGACACCTGCCCAGGCCTGGATTTTATTTTGTGTTTTGTGTGCGGCAGTCGTCCACGAGGGGCTGCCGCTTTACTTTCATTTTGTGTTTGTTTATTTGATTAAAGTTTTGTTTAAATGTTCGCCGGTTCCCGCCTCCTTCTTCCCGAACTACGAACGTTGTTACAGTAATGTATATGTTTCATCTCCAAATATAGAGGGTTAAGGAAATTGTAAATAAAAAGTTACAATATCACAGCAAACAACAAACCTGATGCTTGTTTTTTTGCTCTATTCTGCCCAGCCTGCAGTTCATCTCCTCTTGGACAGTGTGAATTTCTGACCTCATCTCCATCTTTGCGGCTTTCAGCTTATTCTCCAGCGTTTTAATGAGGGGCTTACAATGACAGTCATTCGCAGGAGCCTGTTTGCAGACACTGGTTAAGAGGTTTAAAACAAACAAATGCATTGCATTAACTCTAATGTAGAGTTTACCTGCTTTATCTGTCCATCTTTATCCCTGTAAAGTGTATAAAGCTGATAGGCTTTTCCAGGAGTTTCCTCTTCCTCCTGAGAGCTGGTGCTGCTGTGTTTTACTCTCTGGGATGGAGATCCTCTCTCATGTAGCTGATACTCTCTCCGGAACACATGGTCCAACTTTTTTAATAGCAAAAACATATTTAGAATTACTAGATTTTTATTAGGGAAAAAAAATTGTCAGGTAAAATGAATCACCTGAAAATGTGATAACATCTAAATGAACTTGTTTTATTTAAGACAAAAAAAATTAATGAATCTACCCGATTATATTAGGTTATACCAATAAAAGCAATTCAGATGATTAAAAAAATATTTTTCTATTTATAATGGATATAGTTTAATACATGTAATGATCGCTAAATTGTTTTGATAGTAAAAATTAAGATTCATTAAGATTTTTTATTACGATTTTTTAATATTAAAATAATAACTTCAATCAAATAGCTCATGTTTATTTTTTTTAAGTTATTAAGCCACCTAATAAGCAGAATAATGCACAGTCAGCATTTTATTATTGCAAAATAAACCCTCTAGGATCATTTCAAAAATTGTCACCTAAAAATGTGATAACATCTAAATACATTTGTTTTAAGATGAAAAAATAATATGAGTCTACCTGATTATATTGGGTTAAACTGATAAAAGAAATGTTTCTTAACTATTTACAGTGGATATAAGTTAATATATTGCACTCTGAAATGTATGTAACAATCTGTAAATTGTTTTAATGTCAATGTTATTAAAATTCATTTTATTAATATTAAAATAATAAATAAATCAATAGTTCATGTTTATTTGTTTATTAAGTCATCTAATAAGCAGAATAATATACAGTTAGCATGTCATTATTGCAAAATAAACCATCTAAAATCATACAACACCATATCACCATACATCATGGTTTATTGGTATATAGTATAAAATTGAAGTATAAATTATTATAATAATGTTAATTAATATTGATATAAATGTAATATCGCTACCTTTATTCTTGGGCTCCGGATCTTTCTCCTTGTGCCGGGGCTCAAAGTTGCTGTGTTCTGTTCAGGTTGTATCCTGTGATGTACTTGATCACAGTTGTTTGTGTCTTCTGCCACTTCAGTACAGTCCTGCACAATGATGGGAGTGCTTAGCATGAGAGAGATATTTAGGAGAAAGCAATCACATGACCTCTGATCTCTTTTAGGGTTATGGAAGCTTAGTAGTCATGTGACATTTTCTTCTCACTGGCCCCTAGACCCCAGTCATATTACAAACGATGAATCGTTCTAGATGGGTGAATCTTATCTGAATTTTCCACCTTCTGTCGGGAGGAAGGAACTCTGAGGAGGGACTGAGTTCTCCTCTGGGCCCCCAAGACATCTCTTCTTTTTCTCACTGTCTTTCCACGAGCAAACCTCTGCAACTGAGGGACATACAACTTGAGTTAGAGAAGCTACTGATAAAATAAAGATTGAAGTTTGGATGGTTAGGATATTTCATTTAGTTCCTGCTAGTAGATGCTGTAACTATACCAGGGTACATGGAAATAACTTAAAAGAAAGCCAAAAAAAAAAAATCTTACTTGAAATAAAAAAACTGAAATAAAATGAAATCTAAAAAACCTAAAACTTATTTTATTTGAGCTAGATGCCAAAGCAACATTTCTCATTTTTATTTATTTTCATTTTCATTTTAAAACTGAAATAAAAAGAAACAAATCTATACAGACATTAAAAAACAATAACTAATAAAAATGACAAGAACACAATAAATTGTTATTAATAACTGCGCTTATTAATAATAGTTAAAACTAACTAAAATTAAAATGTAAACAAAAAATACAAAACTAAAAAAAAA